AGGGAGAGAGTGAGGGAGGAGGCGATGGGAATGATGAGGAGTGGGCCGTACGGGTGGATAGCACTGGGCGGCATGGATCGGAAGGTTACGCTTTGGCCCACGTACCGCCCTTCACCACTCTTCACCGCAAAGAATCTCTTCAAACAGCCTGTTTTGGATACTGCATGGTATAATGTGGTGTGGGATGGTATGGTATAGTATGGCGTGGTAGATATGCTATGCAATGGTATGTTATGGTGTGGTGTGGTGTGGTGTGGTGTGGTGTGGTATGGTATGGTATGGTATGGTATGGTATGGTATGGTATGGTATGGTATGGTATGGTATGGTATGGTATGGTATGGTATGGTATGCACATGCTCTGTTTGAGATCTTCGTTCTCGTCACCTTTCTCTCGTTTTCCTCTCTCCCCGGTTCCCTCTCTCCCCAGTTCCCTCTCCCCATGAAGGTCCCCATGTGGCCTTCACATGCTCTGCTGCTGCTCCAGGCCTCCTGAAAACAATCACCCCTTCATGTTCACCACCCACCCCTCTCCACCCCTTTCTCTTCCCCCCATGTAGGTCCCCATGCGGCCTTCACATGCTCTGCTGCTCTGCAGACGGCACTGTAGCAGCCTTCCTCTTCGACCAATCAGAGCTCGGCATCCCTCTGACGCACCGCGAGATGGATGGCCGGATCGCCAGCCTGTACGGCCACCGCCACGTGGCGGCATCCCATTCGCTCGTGGAGGACCCGGAACTGCTGGCGCTCCAGCAACAGGTAGAGAGAGAAGAGGCCGCCGCCGCCGCTGCTGCTGCTGCTGCCGCCACGACTGCTGCAGCTGCTGCAGTGTTTGGGAATCCAAAAGTAAGAGGAGGTGGGTTAGCTGTTGGTGCTGTTGGTGCTGCTGCTGTGGAGATGAGTTCTGAAAGTGTGAGAAGACAGCAGGTGGTGGTGAGGAGGAAGGATGGACGGAAACGAATCACTCCTGTCGCGATCACTTCTGTTGTGACTGAACCACCTGTGCTTCCAAATAATGCAGCCAACACTCCTGTAATAGCAGCAGCTCCTGCTGTAGCAGCAGCAGCAGCAGCAGTGACTGAAGTGGCAGCAGTAGCAACAGCAGCAGCACCACCACCACCAACACCACCAGCGCCAGCAGCTGCACCAGGAACAGCAGCAGCACCAGCGACAGCAGCAGCTGTGGCAATGGTAACAGCAGCGACAGGGGTGGCAGCAGCACCAGCGAATGCAGCAGCAAAAACACCACCACCAGCAACAGAATCGGTAGTACCAACAGCAGCAGCTGCTCCAGCAGCAGTATCAGTAGTGTTAAAAGCAAAAGCAACAGCACCAGCAGCAACAGCACCAGCAGCAACAGCACCAGCACCAGCCACAGCAGCAGCAGCAGCACCCGTACCAGCCACAACAACAGCAGCAGTGGCTGTAGCAAGGAAGGATACTGGTCTACAGCAGCAGCAACAGATCGGTAACCAGCGAATCGGTAACCAGCAGGTTGGTAACCAGCAGGTTGGTAACCAGCAGATTGGTAACCAGCAGATTGGTAACCAGCAAGAGAGAGAGACCAAGAGGCAAAAGCTGGGGCAGAGGCTTGGAGTGGAAGGAGCAGATGGGGGAGGGTTCAACGTGGGTTGGAGGCTGGGAGATGGGATAGGCTCGGAAAGAAATGGTTCGGATAGGCTTGGGTTGGGAGGAAGGGAGGAAGAAGCTTCCAGGTTGGCGAGAGAGGGACGGGCCTCAGGATTGGTGGTTAGAGTGGAAGTGAGGGGAGGGTATGGGGTAGGAGGGGATGGTTGGGGAAGAGGGGAGGGTGGTGGGAGAGGGGAGAGAGGAAGAGGGGGAGAGGGAGGGAGAGAGGGGGAAGGAGAAGAGAAGGTGGAGAGGGTGGTGTATGGGAGTGTGATTGCTGATGCCATGGCCTTGCAAAGAGCAGCTGCTGCTGGTGGGGGTGGCGGTGCTGCTGCCGCTGGTGCTGGCGAGCGGCTGTGGAATGGTGGGAGGAGGGTGGTTCTGGAAGCAAGAATGCAAGCAGACACAGGTGAGAGGGTGGTGGATAGGAGAAGGGAAGGGGGGGAGGGTGGTGGATAGGAGAAGGGAAGGGGGAGAGGGTAGCGTATGGGAGTGTGATTGCTGATGCTATGGCCATGCAAAGGGCTGCTTCTGCTGGTGCTGGCGGTTCTGCTGCCGCTGGTGCTGGCGAGCGGCTGTGGAATGGTGGCAGCAGGGTGGTTCTGGAAGCAAGAATGCGAGCAGACACAGGTGAGAGGGTGGTGGATAGGAGAAGGGAAGGTGGAGAGGGTGGTGGATAGGAGAAGGGAAGGGGGAGAGGGTAGTGTATGCGAGTGTGGTTGTTGATGCCATGGCCGTGTTGGTTTGACGTTTGAGAAATTTCAAGAGTCAAACCAGCAAGCAGACACAGGTGAGAGGATGGTGTATGCGAGTGTGGTTGCTCATGCCATGGCCTTACAGAGAGCTGCTGCTGCTACTGCTGGTGAGAGGGTGGCGTATGGGAGAAGGGAAGGTGGAGAGGGTGGCGTATGGGAGAAGGGAAGGTGGAGAGGGTGGCGTATGGGAGAAGGGAAGGGGGAAAGGGTGGCGTATGGGAGTGTGGTAGCTGATGCCATGGCCTTACAGAGAGCTGCTGCTGCTACCCATCTCTTCTCTTCCTTGCTTCACATCCCTCCCCATCCAGATGCCTCTCCCTCTGACCTTCTCTGTTCGCTCAACGGCCATGTACTGTGGCGGGACCGCCTCCCTTCCCCCGTCACTGCCATTGCCGGCTGTCCAGTACCCATCTCACCTTTCCTGCCTTTGCCCCTCCTTCCCTTCCCATCCCTCTCTTCCCCATCCAGACACTACCCCATCTGACCTGCTCTGTTCGCTCAACGGCCACGTGCTGTGGCGGGACCGACTCCCTTCCCCCGTCACTGCCATTGCTGGTTGCCCCACCCTCTTTCTGCCCTTTCGTCCCCCCCTTTTGCTCACCAACCAGACGCCTCTCACTCTGACCTGCTCTGTTCCCTCAACGGCCATGTGCTGTGGCGGGACCGACTGCTTTATCCTGTCACTGCCATTCCCAACTGTCCTGCCCACCCCTCCCTCCCTGCCTCTTCCCCATCCAGACACTACCCCATCTGACCTGCTCTGTTCGCTCAACGGCCATGTACTGTGGCGGGACCGCCTGCCTTCCCCCGTCACTGCCATTGCCGGCTGTGACCCCGCTGTTTCCGCCCATCCCTCAACCCTCTCACCCTCTCCCGGAGCCTCTCTCTGGGCCGTGGCCTGTGCGAATCACTCTCTGCTGGTGAGACTTCTTCTCCTAGCTCAGCCTTCGCCTGTTACTGCCATTGCCGGCTGTCCCCCTTCTTCTGCTGCCTCCCATCCTTCAACCCTCTCACCCTCTCCCGGAGCCTCTCTCTGGGCCATGGCCTGTGCTAATCACTCTCTGCTGGTAAGGCTCCCTCTCCTTCCTGGTGAGACTCCCTCTCAGACTGTCCCCCTTCCGCCCCACTGCTGCCTCCTCCCTTCCCTCTACCCTCTCATCCTCCTCGCCCGGAGCTTCTCTCTGGGCCGTGGCCTGTGCGAATCACTCTCTGCTGGTGAGACTGCTTCTCCTAGCTCAGCCTTTGCCTGTTACTGCCATTGCCGGCTGTCCCCCTTCTTCTGCTGCCTCCCATCCTTCAACCCTCTCACCCTCTCCCGGAGCCTCTCTCTGGGCCGTGGCCTGTGCTAATCACTCTCTGCTGGTAAGGCTCCCTCTCCTTCCTGGTAAGGCTCCCTCTCCTTCCTGGTAAGGCTCCCTCTCCTTCCTGGTAAGGCTCCCTCTCCTTCCTGGTAAGGCTCCCTCTCCTTCCTGGTGAGACTCCCTCTCCTTCCTGGTAAGGCTCCCTCTCCTTCCTGGTGAGACTCCCTCTCCTTCCTGGTGAGTCTCCCTCTCAGACTGCCCCCCTTCCGCCCCACTGCTGCCTCCTCCCTTCCCTCTACCCTCTCATCCTCCTCTCCCGGAGCCTCCCTCTGGGCCATGGCCTGTGCTAATCACTCTCTTCTGGTGAGTCTCCATTCCACAATCTGTCTCTATGTAAGTCTTACCTCTGTATCCCTCCCCCGTCACTGCCATTGCATTCAGGTCGTTTTTGAGGGGCCTCAAAAACGATCTCTATATCCCTTCCCCCGTCACTGCCATTGCGCCCTGTCCCCCTTCCACTGCCTCCCCCGTCACTGCCATTACCGGATCCGGCCCCACTGGTTATGTTGTTGGGGCATAGCTTGACTTTCATAGCGTTCCTTCCGTACCCTTTTCTACCGTTCCTCACCCCTCCCTATCGTTCCTGACCCCTCCCTATCGTTCCTGACCCCTCCCCACTGTTCCTCATCCCTTTTCACCGTTCCCAACACAGATCCTCTCTTCTGCCGGCCGACGCCTGCTTCCCGAAATCCTCCTCGATTCCCCCGCCGTCCTTCTCTCCTGGTTTGCTGCTGAACCTCAACCCTGTCATCCTTCTTCACCCCATCCAATTGTTCCTCACCCTTTTCAACCGTTCTGCACCCCTCCCCAACGCTCCCAAGACAGATATTCTCTTCTGCCGGCCGACGCCTGCTTCCTGAAATCCTCCTCGATTCCCCCGCCGTCCTTCTCTCCTGGTCCGCCGCCGAACCTGAACATCCATCTCGATTCGGCACCGAACCTCCGTCTTGGTCCGGCGCCGAGCCTCCGTCTTGGTCCGGCGCCGAGCCTAAGAACCAGGCCTGGTTCGGAGTATCTAGAAACCAACGGCTTGTGTTTAAGAGTCCACTGGAGCAGCTATGGGATCGGCAAGGGGAAGGGGGGATTGGGACGTGGGGAGGGCGAGAAGAGGAGGGGAGTGGGGAAGGAGGAGGGAGTGGGGGGCGGGGAGGGCGAGGGGAAGGGGGGATGGTGGGGCCGATGCTGCTGGTGGTGACGAGGGGAGGGGGAGTGCGCGTGTGGGATATGGGACGGCTGCAGCTGCTAGTGGATGCTGATATGGGCGCGTTGCGCTCTGAGGCAACAGAAGGTGAGGGGTCATTTGCCATGCCACCAGAGGGAGTGCACGTGTGGGATATGGGGCGGCTACAGCTGCTAGTGGATGCTGAGCTGATATGGGCGCACTGGGAGCAGAGGCAGCAGAAGGTGAGAAGGGTTGCTTGCTTGCCCTTAGCATCAATTGCCATGCCATTGGGGGAGTGTGCGTGTGGAGTATGGGGAGGCTGCAACAGCTGGTGGATGGTGATATGGGTGCACTGGGCTCTGAGGCAACAGCAGGTGAGCGAGAGAGGGTGGTTTATGCACCTCTGTTCACACCCCTATCCTTCCCTTTCCCCCTTTCCTGTCAGGCACGCTCTGCATGGCATAAGCTCGCCTCCTCCCTCCATGCACTCCCCTCATCACCCTACTCTCTGGAAGGTCCTTCCTCCTCCACCCCTAACTGCACGCCTGGATGCCCCTCTCTCCCACCTTTCTGTACCTCCTTCTTTGATTCATGCAGACTTTGCCTTCTCCTTACCGTTTATCCCCTCCAGGCACACTACGCATGGCATCAGCTCGTCTCCTCCCCCCATGCACCCCTGTGGTAACCCTTCTCTCCGGAAGGTCCTTCCTTCCTCCTCCACCCCTCCCTGCACGCCTGGTTGCCCCAATCAATCAATCTCCCTACCGACTTCCCTTTTAACCCTTTCCTGCCAGGCACGCTGCGCATGGCATCACCTCGCCTCCTCCCCCCGTGCACCCCTCTCATCACCCTACTCTCTGGAAACTCCTTCCTCCTCCACCCCTCACTGCACGCCTGGATTCCCCTCCCTCCCCTTCCTCTACCTCCTTCCTTGATTCATACAGCCTTTTGCCTCCCCATCCCCCCTGACTTTTGAGTCGACTCAAAAGTGACTTTTGCCTCCCCATCCCCCCTGACTTTTGAGTCGACTCAAAAGTGACTTTTGCCTCCCCATCCCCCCTGACTTTTGAGTCGACTCAAAAGTGACTTTTGCCTCCCCATCCCCCCTGCATCCCACCAGGCACACTGCGCATAGCATCAGCGCGTCTCCTCCCTCCGTGCACCCCTGCGGTAACTTTTCTCTCCGGAAGGTCCTTCCTCCTCCACCCCTCCCTTCACGACTGGATGCCTCTCTCCTTCTCTCCCATTTCTCTGCCTCCTTCCTCAATTCCTGTGGACTTTGCCTCCCCTTTCCGCCCCCCGTTCCCCCTTATCTGCACCAGGCACACTACGCGTAGCCTCAGCGCGCCTCCTCCCCCCGTGCACCCCTCTCATCACCCTACTCTCTGGAAAGTCCTTCCTCCTCCACCCCTCCCTTCACGCCTGGATGCCTCTCTCTCGCCCTCACCCCTCCTCGCGCCTCTCGTCCAATTGGAGGCCGCCACCTGGCGCGTTTCGAGCTGGGAGCTTCCGAGGTGCCAGCAGGGATGGGGCTGCTGGTGGTGCTGGTGCTTCGTCTTTCCTTTCAAGGTAGTCTGGTGCTGGTGGTGCAAGTGGTGCTAGTGGTGCTGGTGCTGCTGTTGCTGCTGCTGGTGATGGTGATGCTGGTGTTGATGTGATGCTTCCCCCCCCCGTCTTTTTTTTTCTGTAATTTTTTTTTTCCTGTATCTTTTTTTCTCTCTCAGTGTTTTTCTTGTTCCCCTCTACAAGTTTCCAGATGTCTCAAAACCTCTTCATGTTTCCTTCCTCTGTCTGTCCCTCTCTGTCGTCCGCTCCACACTCGCTTCTATCTCCTTCTCTCTCCTCTCTATTCCACTTTCAAAATCAGGCAGGCACCTGGGGAAGAGGCGCATGCCACAAGAGCCCACCTGGAAAACGCCCTGGCGGCCTGCCGTCTGTTGAATTCACCTGACGAGTTCAGGAGGCTCCTGGCAGAATACGTGCGTCTGCTCACCAAGTGAGTGGCTGAACCCTTCAGATTTAACGGCGATATAGAGTGTACGCCAGTAGCTATATTTTTTAGGTGAGTACAAATTCCGCTCCTGGCGGAATACGTGCGTCTGCCCACCAAGTGAGCTGCTGAACCCTTCAGATTTCTAAGTGCAATTTATTGTGTATCGGAGTGGCTATAGCTGTCTTGGATCTTGCTGCCTTGGTTGGAACCTAAGATGGAATTGAAGCATCAATGGCGGCACCCACGCTTGTCAGGGAAAGTGACGAGGGCTGAATATGTTTGTTGAGAATTCTCAGGTGAGTTTTGAGTCCACTCAAAACTCGTCAGGGAAGGTGACGAGGGCTGCAAATGTTTTTTGAGAATTCTAAAAAAACAGATTAACTCCAAGGGCGATATATGTAGAGCAACTGCCTTGGGATCGGCTATATAGCTGTCTTGGCAGTCGATTCCTTGGTTGGAGCCTAAGATGGAATTGAAGCGTCAATGACTTTTGAGGCGCCTCAAAAGTCGATATATGTATAGCAACTGCCTTGGGATCGGCTATATAGCTGTCTTGGCAGTCGATTCCTTGGTTGGAACCTAAGATGGAATTGAAGCATCAATGGCGACACCCACGCTCACTTGTTAGGGAATGTGACGAGGGTCGGCTGAGGGGCATTTGCCAGTAGTTGGTACGCTTGTATCGAGGTTCGAGTGCTTGTATTGAGTGGGCTTGTACAAGGCAAACAAGTTTTGATCCCGCTCTCATCTGTTTTATTCTTTCCTTGCCAGGGAGGGTGATGAGGGCCGCCTGAGGAAAGTGTGCCAGAAGCTGGTGTGCTTGTATCGAGATTGCTTGTATAGAGGGTGCTTGTACAAAGCAGAATGGTTTTTCTCCCTCTCTCATCTGTTCCATTCTTTCCTTGCCAGGGAGGGTGACGAAGGTCGGCTGAGGGGAGGAGGTGTGCGTGTGCTTGTATCGAGAGTGCTTGTACAGAGTGGGTTTGTACAAATACGAATGGTTCATCTCCAACTCTCAACTGTTTATCTCCAACTCTCATCTGTTTCATTCTTTCATTGCCAGGGAGGGGGATGAGGGTCGGCTGAGGGAGGTGTGCCAGGAGCTGCTAGGGCCTATGGACGCTGGGGAACATGCGGTTACCACAGGCGCGGGCGTGGTTACCGATAACCACGCGGGCACGGTTATTCAGCGCAATGCTCAAGTTGATGAGGTGAGCGATTCGGGCACTTATGCATTACCTGCAGGTTTTTGTTGGGGCCAGCTTGGGGTTTAGGGGTTGTTGGCTAGTACATATGGGCTTGGTGATATTGAGTGTTGGTGAATGTACAGCACGCACTCATCATATGGGCATGTTATGTATTTTAGAGAGAAAAAAATCTAAATAATGTGTTGCTCTTGTGAAGAAGTATTTATTTAGTTTGTGCTGCACTTACCAGCGTTGGTCTTTCCTACTTCCTTGGCTTGCGTTAACAGGAGTTGAGAAGAAAGCGTGGCCTTCTACGAACTGTAGTATTCCCAGCCTTACTCTCGACAAAAAGGATGCAAAGGGTGCTGTTAGAGTACATGGATTTAGTGAAGGAAGCGGAGGCAGGATGAACCATGACAGATGGTGATGTACTACAAATGGATATTATATCTCAATAACTGGTTGGCGCATAGGAAAGCTTTGCAGAAGTGTACTTCCCAGCCGCAACAAACGGGGAAACCGTGCTCCTTGGTCACCGACCGACGACGGGCTAATTTCGTCACCTGTTTCGCAGATTCCAGCTCGCCGCACGATGGGACCTCGCTGAGCTCGCAGACGGCCGATGGTCGCAATCAATTTCGCCTGGCGACGTTTTCCAACCTCCGCCGTCAGGACAGTAGTCGTTACTCCCCCGACCGCTTGCCTAGTTCTCGCGGATACCCCGATCCCTCCACAAATTTCGCCCTCCGGACGCGGCGCGTTGGACGGAGGTGCATTGGCGGCTCGGTATTGCAAATTGGCGAGGGAAATTTTTGGGGGACGGCACATTCCGTTTTACAAGCTCCTTCGCCGCTCCCATCCCAATCCAAACCAGAAATCACTTACAATTCCCCCCCTCCGTCAAACCGACAGCCTGTCCCAGTTCCAAGTTGGGAACCCCATCCCATCCCAACCTAACAACCGCCCCCGTCGGAACCTTGTTTCCCTTATAAAAGCGCCTTGATCTCTTATCATCGAAGTATAATCTAGCCGTTAACAGCATAGATTCACACACTCATCTACCCTCTTGTTGTAGTATCCTGCTGAAGTTACCTTTTCGCAGCTAAGAAACTAGCTTCTCAACTTGAGAAACCCGATCGCTCCCTACTGTGATCTCGGCCTTCGACTCTTCAATCTCACAATGCCGACTTCTGCTTTCCTCGCAAGGCCGGCCTGGCGCCTCGTCATTGCGGCTGTCATCTTATCGTTCGTCGTCTCAGCAGCATGGGCGGCGCCTCTAACGGGGGGCAAAAAGCCCAAGCAGACGGTTCCGCTGCCGCCATTCTACGAAGAGGCGCTTCAGAAGCTCAACGCGTCGGGATTCACGAGCTTCGTGTCGCTCTTCACCATGTATGGTACGTACTGAGTCGCATCGTGGAAGCGGGCAAAATCGGGACATGATATGGGACTCCTCACTATGATGAGGTGCAAGGTGACTATTGAGTCGACTCAAAAGTCACCTGATAAAAGTGTTGTTTTGAGACGTCTCAAAACAAAATCGGGACATGATATGGGAGTCCTCACCACGAGGAGGTGCAAGGTGAGTATTGAGTCGACTCAAAAGTCACCTCGGACGAAATCGGGACACGATTCGGGACTCCTCGCCATGTATGGTGCAAACGTACTCATTCCCGCGTGTACTTGAACTTGATCTGACACGCTCCAAAACATTATATGGGGCTCTTTTCCTTATATGGTCATATGGGGTACACAGTGGGGTTCTTATAATATGGGGTACAAATGCCCGCGTTTCCTCGTTGCGAATTCCACTTCATCGTCAAGCGTTTCCTGTCTCGCATTCACCATCATCCATCTGTTGATCACCCTCTTGCCGTAACCTTTTTTTTATTATAATAAATCAATATCTCTTTCATCCCGTCATGTTTATCGGTCAACCATTACGTACTCGCCCACAAACCCCCTCGCCGCTCTACACCCTCCTCCGCGCTCACCACTCTTCCTCCCACTGCCGTTTGCCTTCCGTAATTCCCCCTCTGCCCAATTCCTCTCCTCACCCCGCGCAGGCAAGACAAAGCAGATGAGCGACTTCGTTACGAAGAACTCTGTGACCGTTCTTGTGCCCACTAACGACGCCATCACGAAAGCGAATTTGACGGGTTACCCTATGACGAAACTGCTTACAGTCGTCGCCTTCCAAGTCATCAAGGGCGTGAAGACGCGCGCCGAGTTACAAATGTTACCACCTGGCACCCCAGTGGTTACCATTTCGATGGACGCGAAGAAGAAGCCCCTCTTTTTGACGAAGGTTTCGCCTGCGTCGCCGAAGAAGCGGGTTTCCCTACGCGGGAAGGCTGGCCCTAATAAGAGTGTGGTGACTATAATGGGTCCGGATTTCTACATCAAGGTGGGTAAACTTTCGGTTCACACTACGAACAACGTGGTGCTGCCGGAGGGATATTAGAGAATATTTAGATTCTACAGCTCACAGTGTAGTGTACATGATACACTGGCTGAAACCAGGTCACGAAACAGGGTCGCGACTATACGGCGTTGGGAGGCGCCATGACCCAGCTTATAGCTAGGATAAGCTCTGTTAGGTGCTACGTTGCACCTTGAAACAGGAGCAAGCGTGGCCATGCATGCTTCTGTGCATGAGCCATGGCACATACACTGATTTCTGCTTCCATACTTGTTCCCTAACATTCACTACATAAACAGCATAAAATTATCATTGTGGACTTGCCTGAAGCACTTTAGCCAGTAAAAGATGTGGAGTGCCTGCCACCAATGACTTGTCGAGGTGCAACAGATTCTAATGTGGAGTGCCTGCCACCTTTTACTTGTTGAGGAGAAACAGATCTCAAGAGCTTTTCTCAGCCCACAAGATCGTACAACACACTAGTACCATACCAACTGTTGTGACAACAATACCTAGAAGTTGTTGGGCTGAAAAGCCCTAGGATCTTTGTACAGTTAAAGTCTGAGTAAGTGATGTAATAGCGGAAGCGTTGAATAAAGTCCTTGAACCACCTTGCGCTAGTATGTGAGGGCAAAGTAAGTTGATTAAAGCAAAGAGATACAGGAATAAATATATGAGTACAAAGAATATGAAGAGACATTATGACTACTTTACTGTTGCGGTTCGATATAGTGAGACTCGGGCAACTGCTCAATGTCGAGTCAGTTGTGTGTCCTTGCTGTCGCGCTGCGTCAGGTCAAAGGTCGCTGACCTTTGACTTTCTCGTAACCTCCAGCGGTTACGTTAACTTCCGAGGGTTGACTCGCGATGCTTCGATTTGAGCTGCTTCGCTTGTGTCTTGAGTTCTGACACGACAGAGGTGCTTAAACTATTTGTTCCCAACAGAAGTGAAGAGGCCCACGCATAGAGAAATCACGTTTCAACACATAGAGACAAAAGAACAGTGTCACTACATTTTGCTGGCACTCACTACTAGGTAGATTCCTGGTTATATCAACTTGACCATCCTGTACATTTGGCCCTACTGTATGCTGCATCTTGAACCTTGTGACGGCCGTGTAACATTTCCAAACGCACTCCTTTCAATCAGATCCATGTCCGCTTCTAAATTTAACAAGGGTGAAAAGGAAGGGAGGTTTACAAAGGGAAGGGTACGGAGGGGCACAGTGAAAACGAGGTGGTGTGGTGAGGGACACATGTGTTTGTGGATTCACGAGATACCGGTACGTGAAATGGCATGGAGGAGCATGAGGACAAGGCAGACCCAGGCAGATTTGGGAAGATACAATAAGTCCTCCCCTCTTCCTCTCAACTTTCCCCAACCCACCCGAGAATTCCCTTTCAAGGATCTGAATGTCTCGAGGCGACCGTGGAGACTTGCAGAGAAATGTCTGTAAGGAGTACAGGGTATACATGTGGAGAGTGTTGAGGAATAGGATGTAGGGTCTTAGCGGATATTGGGCATGGAGTAAGGGAAATGTTTGGTAGCGGGTTCCGGAGTGAAGGGTATAGGGATCTGGTGGAATCAGCTATGGAGTATAAGGAACTGTTGGTAAGGAATCTAAAATACATATTATAATGGTTAATGGTTGGTAAGGGGTTTAAGGTATATGTTATCATGGTGAATGGTCGGTAAGGGGTAAGGGCTGTGGTAGAATGGGGTATGGAGTATGAGAAATGACTGGTGATGGTTGGTTGGCTTGTAGCTTGGATTCAACATAGTAGGGGTATGGTGGGTATGGTGCATGGTGGACGGTGCGTTTGAGGCATGGTGTGTTAGAGATATGGGATATGGGTTATAATACCATCACACGGCAACAAGCATAGCCAACAAAAACACCTCACTCGGCCGTGCTTCACCGCGCTGCACCGCACTGACACTCCCCTTAGAATGGTGCCGTTGACCCACCAAGCTGTCTGTCCCAATGAGTTGGCGATGATGCATGCAGTACCATGCATCACCGTGCAGCACCACTCACATGCACAACGCACACTGCATTCTACCGCACCATACCACGCAGCACCGCACCGGGAGCCACCTGGCGAATGGTACAGTTGTCTGCTGAGCTGTCGCCTCCCTGGGGCCACAAAGTGAGGAATGACAAAAACGGGGTGGAAAGGAAATAGAGGGCGGAATGAGGGAGGGGGGAAGGGGGAGGAGAGAGGGGTACGGGGCGATGGGGTTGTGTGCTGTTGTTGACTGGGCTTTCGCCTTCTTGGGGTCACAAAATTAGGAATGGCAAAGATGAGGTGGAAAGGAAATAGAAGGGGGGAATGAAGGGGGGGGGGGGGAGGGGGGAGAAGAGGGGGGTACAGGGTGATGAGGTTGTGTGCTGGGCTGTCGCCTCCTCAGGGTTACAAAGCGATGATGAATGGCAAAGAAGAGGTGGAAAGGAAATAGAAGGGGGGAATGAAGGGGGGGGGGGGGGGGGGGGGGGGGGGGGGGGGGGAGAAGAGGGGGGTACAGCTGTCGCCTCCTTAGGGTTACAAAGCGATGAATGGCAAAGAAGAGGTGGAAAAAGGGAAGTGAGGGGAATGGAGGAGG